ACTTGCAGGCCACTATCCTAACGCAAAGCAAGCTGGCATCTCCAAATTGCTAACCTGAACTGTGCCCCAGGTTTTTCTGTAGATCCTAATTTCCCAGCTTCTGGCAGCTAACTTAAATCGGTCATGGTGATGGAGCCCCGCAGCTCCTCTGCCAGGATGGGGGCAGGGGGCACCTGAGATCATCCTTTGCACCTGTCTTGGCCACAGTGTGGTGCCTTCTCTGGTGATCACCAGATGACAGGCTCAGACATCTCACCTGGGAGGAGTGTTGGGCACAGCCTTGGTTTCAAAAGGAAGAGTGAGCTCATGGGAAATGAGAGGGTAGATCTGTGATTCCCTCTCTTTATTTTTATCCAAGAGACAGGTGACCCCATATTATCAGAAACATTTATTAGTACCTGTCCTCAAGGATATACCATGCTTGCTTTAGCATAATGTTTCACAATTTTCTACATTGATGGCAGCCTCAAGAATCTGGATGTGCTGTCCCCATCAGAGGATCTATAGTAATTTGTATGGTGACCTCAACCTGACCCTAGGCTGCCAGGCCACAGAATGCTCCTAGACCTTCCCCAAGATTCTTCCTCCCTCAAAGCAAGAGCTGGTTCCTCCTGGGCCTAGTGTGGCTGCCAGCCAAGAGGCTTGGGGCAGGCCTGGGGCATGCAGCTGGCACCTGCCCACCAGATCCCCAAGGAACACTCCCCCACACTCCTATCACCCCATTAAGATGGCTACTGAGCTATAGGGAGACAGAACTCCCTGCTCCCTATTCCCAGAGAAAACTTTGACCTGGAAAGCTCATCATTTCCCTTTCCACTGTAAGCTTCTCCAAGATCCTCCACCCAGACTAGATAACACCAAAGACCACCAAGTAACTTTTCCAGGAAGGACCTAAGACTTAATACAAGAAATTGAGCTGGGGCTAGGTAAGGGAACTTGAGAGGTGAGGTCTGACCTGGAGTTCTGGGGAAAGTTGTTGAGGTCAAGAAATAAATGAAGAACAACTCAATGTGAATGAGATAGGAGAGGGAGACATGAAGGGAGAGGCTGAATGAATATGCCTCTCTCATCTAATTAGCAACATGCAAATAATATGCAAATAACACTGTCTTTGTTTAGAGACCACAAGGTCTGTACTTTTAAGTGAATTGCAAAGGGACCTCCAAGCAGCATCTCTGACCAGAAACAGGACACCCATGTCGCTCAGGAGAGAGGCCAGAGTGTGTGGCCTTCAGGTCCTAGCTTATTTTCTAATTGGGCTTATTTTCTGTGGGCCTCAGTTTCCCTATGTGTGACTACATGCAAGGCTATATATACTTGATGGTGTCTAAGACTTTATAGTGCTCTCAGACTGGGATTTTCTAATCTGGAGCTCAGTGCCAGTCCAGGTTGGAGGGGTTGATTCTATTCTGGGGTAGAAGCCAAGGCTCTTGGCTTTCTTACCCCTGCTGCCCATCCTCTATACCCTCACACACCTGCCATCCCTTGGGTGGTTTCCTGAAGGCAGTGTTCCCTCCCACACCATGTCTTTTTTTTTTTTTTTAAAGAGAGAGAGAATTTTTAATATTTATTTTTTTAGATTTCGGATGACACAACATCTTTGTTTGTATGTGATGCTGAGGATCGAACCCCGGGCCGCATGCATGCCAGGCGATCGCACGACCACTTGAGCCACATCCCCAGCCCCACACCATGTCTTTACCCATACCAATCTCTCTGCCAGGAATACATTTCCTGCTTTAGTCCCTCACCTGGCTAAACAACTCCAATAGCTTTACCTACCTTTCCCCTCCACTACCTGGTTTCTGGTAAAGTGCCTCCCTTCTAAATGCTCCTGCGTACTATTTGCTTCTCTCTTTTCCCACTAGACCATGAATTCCTGGGTTTTGTTCAAGACTAAATCTCTAGTATAAAGGTATTAGTTTCCCAAGGCTGCTGTAACAAAATTACTACAACCTTGGTGACTTAAAAAAACAAAAAACAAAAAACAAAACAAAACAAAACAAAAACAGAAAATTGGGCTGGGGTTGTAGCTCAGTGGTAAAGTGTTTGGCGAGCATGTGTGAAGCACTGGGTTCAATTCTTAGCACTGTATGTAAATAAATAAATAATAAAGGTCCATCAACAACTAAAAAAATTTTTTTTAGAACAACAGAAGGGCTGAGGATGTAGCTCAGTTGGTAGAGTACTTGTCTCTCAGGGGTTCAGCATCAGTTTCTCTGGGTAACATACCAAGATGTCAGCAGGACTATGCTCTTTCTGGAAGCTGTAGGGGAGAATTTGTTCTTTGCCTCTTTCTGCTTCTAGTGGCTGCCAGCATCCCTTTACTTGTGGACCATCTCTTCAATTTCTGCTTTCGTCTTCATATCACCTTCTAATCTTTTCTGTGTGTATAATCTCCCTTTGCTCCTTTATCTCTCTCTCATAAGGACACTTGTGTGGTATTTAGAACCCACAGATGATCCAGAATAATCTTCCCATCTCAAGCTTCTCTCCCCCTCTCTCTTTTTTATAAGCAGTGGATTTTAATGTTTCTCCTTTGGGGCAAGTAAGGTCACCCAAGACACAAAAAGTGTCTGGCACTTTGATACAGAAGGATTTGGTTCAATCTTGTGCAGATTTAGGATACATAAAGGTACACAAAGTTGGGCCTCAAACTCCTCTGGGTTCGGGTGGGGCAGAAAGTGAACGAGAAAGTGGTTTGGGGAGATAGAATGGATGTGGGCTGGAGTTGTTGACCAAAGTAGTTGGTCTCAGGGGGTTGCTGGGGCCAGCACAAGCCCTAAGGCTGGGTAGCTGCTGCTGTGGTGGCCCCTGTCTGTCCAGTTTACCAGCTCACTGCTCTCTGGGCCCCTTCCACTGGGTCACTGGCATGGATGATATTCCTGCTGATGTGGATGCTGAAGTCCCGCTGGATAGTCCCAGGGGCAGCCTCAGTGGAGTCAGTGTGTCCTATCATGGCCCTTGAGGCACGAACCACATTGTACCCTTCCCAGATCATGGCCATCATGGACCCAGAGCTCACGTAGCTGTTGAGGGCTGGATAGAAGGGCTCCTCTGTAGGTCCTGGTAATGCCCAGCAAAGATGCTCTCAGGTGCCTGCAGCATCTTCATGTCAACCAGCTTGAAGCCCTGCCTCTTGAAGTGCTGGATCACAGCTCCAGGGAGCTATTGTTGCACCCCATCTGGCTTCACTGAAACCAGGGTGTGCTCCTGGGTCTAGGAGAGCCCTCCTGAGCTTCAGCCTCAAGAATCTTTTTTTTTTTTTTTTAGCCATTTATATTTTAGTTGTGAGTGAACACAATACCTTTGTTTTATTTTTATGTGGTGCTGAGGATCGAACCCAGTGCCTCATGCATGCTAGGCAATCGCTCTACCTCTGAGCCATAACCTCAGCCCTTAAGATTCTTAATCACATCTGCAAAGACACTTTTCCCAGATAAGGTAACATTCACAGATTCTGGGAACTAGGACACAGACAAATGTTTAGGATTATTATTAGACTACTAAAATAATCAAGAACATTTAAAGTGTTACCAGTTAGTAAGCATCTACCATGTGTCAAATGTGATAAATACATTTTCTCACTAAATTTCAGTCTCACAATAACCCGCTGAAAGGTAGATATTAATGCATCTATTGTATAGATGAGGAAACTGAGGCTCAGGGATATTGAATCACCTACCCAAGAGCACATAGTTGGTAAATGACAGAGCTTGGCTCCAAAGCCAGCATGATTTTTGCCTCACCAATAGCCTCTGAGCCTATCCCAGGTCCTGGCACAGATTTTTTGTGTAAATAAAGATGCAGAAAGAGAAAGATATGTGGACAAGGGAAAGGAAGATGAGGCTCAGTCTTCCTGGTGATATTGACTCAAGCTTTCTTTTGCCAAAGCCCCCTTACCACCCCTCTAATCTTTCCCCACCAACCCTGGCCTCCTTTTTCAGAAGCCTGGAATCCCCCACAGTTGGCAGCCCCCTGCCAACTACTGCTGCCCAGAAGGGTGGCGCAGTGCCTGGACTTCAGGCAAGAGCTATCAAATCACAGAACCAGAGGGACATCTGGAGGTCACTATCTTGCCCTCATGAGTAAAGGCATAGACAGGGTCAGGTTAGTGGATGGCAGGAGGGTGATGTACCCATTTTTTTTTCCTTCAATTACTCTTTCTCCTTTCTCACTTTTTACACAGTTTATATTGGGAAGTCCTCACTTGGGTCTAACCTTGCAGACATGCATAATGAAAGCTGGCCAGAGTCAGAAGTTCTATGACTGAGTCTTGGATTCTCCAAAAAGCAAAATTAGATTTCAGGCTAATTCTCCTCACCTCTCTGGGTCTCTAATTTTTCATCTTTAAAATGGGGTGGATAATGATTATAATGAGAATGCCCATCTCACAGGGTTGTTGGGGCGATAATGACAGCCCAGAAAAGAAGAGCCTGACCCACAGCTTGGAGAGAAGCAGGTACTACGGGAATATTTTGTAACAGCCCTTCGGTCCTCCAGCCAAAGTCCCTTCATCCTGGATAACACAAGCTCCTGTTCACCTCAGCCAGTCTGGTCTGCCTCGCGCGCTAGACTGTGAACTCCTGTTGGCAGGATCTTGTTCATTTTTTAATCACCGCCCATTCCCCTCCCCAGTGTCTAGCTCGTGCTTGGGCACGCAGGCTCAAGATACACTTGATAAATAAACAAGTGAGGGTAGGAATCAGACCCCAAGTCCTAACTCCCACCACTAACCCTCCTCAGTAGGACCCTTTCCGCCGGGGTCCAAGCGGCGACCGCAGCGGCGGGGAAAGGAGGCGCTACAGCTTTAAGATTTCTCTCGGGCGTCCGGTTGCCAAGGCGCGGTTGCCAGGGGCCTGCGCGATCCGCGTCCGGCCTTCGCACGCCTGCACTGGGTTTCCGCCGCCGCCGCCGCCGGGCCGCGCCGGGCTCGGCTCCTCCGAACCGTCTGGCGGACTTGGCACCGGCCCCCGCTCCTCAGTGCCCCCGCGGTGCGTGGCAGGCTGCGGCTTCATTATCCTGATTGATTCCTCCTGCTCCCCGACACTGTGGGGGCCCCGGCCAAGGAAGGGGGGCGGAGGCGGCATCTGCGGGTCCCTTCCCTGGCTCTCGCCTGCGGTCGCTGCTCAGGCTGTCGGCCCCTCGGTGCCCTGCAGCGGGAAGGGAGGACCTGCCTAGCCTCTGCCCCGGTCGTGGGCAGGGAGGGCTCTGAGAAGAAACCGAGTAGTGTCTGGCGCCACGCTCCTGCCAAAGGGCTCGCCCTCAACAAAGGTTTTACGCCTTCTCCAGGAGGATATGGAAGGGTTGGGGTGAAGCAGAAGCACGGTGATGGACTTAAAACTTCGGTGGTGGACTGAGAACTTCAGGGAAGAACATCCTGACAAAATGGGAAAGGTGACATCCACTGGAGCATCGGTCATGGGGCCAAGGATGGGTGACACGTGTCTTATTATGGCCCTCCCTGGGCACCTTGAGTACTGTTCTCAGGGGAGGCAGGGATAAGGTCTGTCCAAATAACTATGGACAGATCTGAGCATAACCTGGCATAGATCTGAGCTCAATGGGAGATGGGGAATCTGTGAAGGGGAGGACCAGTCCCCAGACTCTATCAGGAGCTACCCCCCACCCCAGCCACCGGCCAGAATCTTGGTGGAAGGCATCTTGGGCCAGGCCTGAGATGGGAATGTCTTTAGTTTTGCCATTTGGTTTGTGACCTTGGAAAGACATTTTATTTTATTTTAGCCTTGGTTTACTTATGGATTAAGACCTCCCATTTGTTGGGTACAAGAGGCTGAGGCAGGAGGATTGCAGGTTGGAGGCCTGCCTGGGCACTTTAGCAAGACCTTATCTAAAAAAAAAAAAAATATATATATATATATATATATATGGCTAGGGATGTAGCTCAATGGCAAAATACCCCTCTGTTCAATCCCCAGTACCAACAAAGAATGTCCTATTTGTCAATAGTTAAATGAAATAATTGTATATAATGTGTTGCTTCAGCACCCAACCTAAATTCTCTGGAAAGAAAAAAGGGAACTAAAGGGTTGACCTCCATTCCTTTGCTGTTTGGGGTAGATCCACTGAGGGAGATGAGTTTCCTCCATGTGTTTAAATCCATTCTTAACTGGAAAATGACCTTGAACCTTCCAGCTTAAGCTGCCTCATTTTCAGAGTAGAGGGAGAAAACTGTTCTCCATCTCATTGGCATGACATGGAGTTAATATGTAAGTTCACATCAGGCTCTCCACCACTCTCATCCCTCTGTCCATGGTGCCTCTCTGCGTACAAGCCCTGACAGTCTCCCCCTAGCGCCTCAGCCCTGTCCTGTCCCAGGGCCAGACCTAGGAAATGTCTTATATGGGCTTGGCTCTCTTGAGTAATCCAAAGTTTAGTCCCCTCAACCCTGGAAAGGAAGGAGTTGGTGAAGAATTTGAGGCTATTTTTTCAGGACCCATGGTGATTTGTGTGTGTGTGTGTGTATGTGTGTGTGTGTGTGTGTGAACATGATTGAGGTCACTCTTGATTGGTGGGCCTGTTTCTTCTTCTTCACAGAACCTGTATTTTCAACCTGTATTTTCTTCTTCTTTTTTTTTAATATTTACTTATTTTTTTTAGTTTTGGACAACATCTTTGTTTGTATGTGGTGCTGAGGATTGAACTCAGGCCGCACACATGCCAGGCGAACGCACTACCGCTTGAGCCACATCCCCAGCCCTCAACCTGTATTTTCTTAAATATTTTTAATTGTAGATGGACACAATATCTTTATTCTATTTATTTATTTTTATGTGGTGCTGAGGATTGAACCCAGGCCTCACACATTTGAGGCAAATACTCTACCACTGAGCTACAACCTCCACCTGAGTTCAACCTGTATTTATTGGGTAACCACACTGGGGCAGCATGGTGCACCCAGAAGGAATGAACTCAGCTGGGGTTGGGAAGACGTCTACTCTGAAACCACTGAACTTCTGGGGGTAACAGCCAAATTACACAGCAGCCTCTCTAATACAGAGTGTTTGCTGCAGAGGGACCTCCCAGGTTCTAGAACATTCCACAATGTCATGATGCTTCCCCTCCTTCCTGGATACAGCTCTCTTGCCCTGGACTTTTCAGTCAGAGACTAATTACTTTTCTATGAGCAAATATCCTAAAATTTGAGTCTGGGGCCTTTGTTGGAATTACCTATTTTTACAACAATCATGTTTTACTTTTATGTTCAAGGGCAAAACACAATAAAAATATTTCCAATTTAGGAGGAAAAAAAATGCAAGGGAGGATTTTTCGTCTATAACTGGAGGCAAGTAAGTATACATGTGGAGGCCTGCCAGGCTGGCCAGGGTCCTCCATCATTGTGGCCCTGGGTTCAAGTGCCTCAGTCTCCCCGCTGGCCTGACTGGCCTGCCCCATCCTCAGCATGTATATCCCTCAGTTCTACTTCCTGTTAATACAAACCATGTGGGACCCTGGCTGTGGCATCTCCAAGTTGAAGATGAAGACTCCGCCCCCTTGTGGCTGCCAGGGAGGCTGGCAGGAAGGGGCATCTCCACAAGACATCTCCTGGGAAACAGTGATCTCCCCAGAGAAGAGACATTTGGAAATAAAATTCCAGCCATTGTGTGTTTGTTTGTGTGTCGGGTTGGAAGAAGAAGTTAAGAAACCTCCTCAGCCCTCTCTGCTCTTCTCTCTCTTCAGGGGAAGCCTCCCTCAGCAGCTGTCACTGCCTCCTAAGATGATAGCTGCTTGCAGGCTCTGTTGGGACTGGAAAGTGGCCTAGATGCAGATGTAGGAGAAGAGCACTGGGCTGAGAGTCAGAGGCCCAAGTTCTCGGCTTCTGTGTCCCACCTGTGACCCTGGCCTATTATCCCTCCCTTTCCCAGTCCTAGGTTCCTCTGTAAACTGTGGGTATTTCACCACTGTTCTTAGTTACTGCACTGGACCTACTCCACAGGCCCAAGAATGGTCATTCTAGGCCATTATTTCCTGCACCAGGGACAGATATCTGATAGGAGATCGTGATTCCTTGTGTTGACAATTAGTTGTTTAAACCAGACTGGGCCCTTTGTCTTTCTCTTATTTGAATATTTGTGGGTGCTTTTTTTTTTTTTTGGTATTGGGGATTGAATTCAGGGGCACTTGACCACTGAGCCACATCCCCAGCCCCATTTTGTAGTTTATTTAGATACAGGGTCTCACTAAGTTGCTTAAAGCTTCGATAATTGCTGAAGCTGACCTCAAACTTGTGAGCCTCCTACATCAGTCTCCTGAGCCACTGGGATTACAGGTGTGCACCAACACACCAGGCTTGTGGGGTGCTTTTTTAGAGTAAAGTCTAAGGTCCAGAGTCTACCTGAAAGAGGTACCTAACCTCTCCCTTGCTGTCCAGAGCCCAGCTGCATGCCAGGTGCCTTCAATGATGACTCCATTCATAAGGAGCTGGAGGGCCCTGGAACCTCTTTTGGTAGTGTCCAAAGCCAAGCTAAGGGAGAAACCAGGGTGATATCTTGTGGGAAAAAGGAATAGAGCAGGAGTTATGTCCCTGCCCTTTCCTGCCCACCCTTAGCTGTGACCCTGGCCTATTGTGTCTCTGAGTCTTAGGTTCTCTTTACTCTCCCTTGCTCTTGAGGGACCGAGTCCAATTCACTTCCAGCCAAAGTTAAGAGATGCCCAAATTGGGGATAGGAGCCCTTTAGAATCCACAGGCAGAGATCAAAAGTGCCCAAGTAAAAGCAAGTGGGTCTATTCCAGCTGAAGTGTCCCCTCTTCCTGGTCCCACCACCTAAAACTCCCCTTTAAGAGACTCCACCTTCCAGGTAGGGTAAGGAGTTCTGAGTGAGTTCTTCATGTGGGAGAACAATTTTGTGGGAAGACAGGGAATCTCCAAAAAGAAGAGGGCCAGGGGACCTACAGAGACTCTGGGTCCCAGGTCTCCTCAGGTGCCCTCTTAGAGAGGAAGCACTGGCCTGCCTGATCTTGTGGCTTTGTGGCTGCTCACCCCTGGCTCTGTCCTCAGGTAGGGCAGGGAGTTGGAAGGGAAGGGGTGGGGGAAGTGAGAAAGAAGGGGAAGCAGTAGCAGGGAGGGAGCAGAGATCTGGATTCTCCTTGTCACCTTTCTTGGGCACCTGCTGTGCCAGGAAATGGGCTCAGTTCTACCTGCATCCAGTCCTCACCCAGCTCTGTGCCCTGGTGGTGTTATTCAGCTCCGGCTCCGACAGAGAAGGAAACTGAGACTCAGAAATATTATATAACTTGCCCAAGGTCACACAGCTTGTCAGGAGTGAAGCCAGGCTCCCAGCCCAGGCCTGGCGGCCTCCAGTGGATTCTCCCTGCTGCCAGAAAGTCTTCCAGAAAAGCAGGTCTGGGGTTGGGGTTTTCAGTCAGAGCTCATCAGGATCCCCAGAGGCAAATCTATTGTCATCTGCCCTCCTCCTCCTCACCCATCTGCCAGGCAAGTCGAAGGTGAGCCCCCTGCCATGGCCGCTGCCCAGCCCCAGGTGCCATCTCCGCTTTTCCTGGCTCCCCGCCTTTCCCTGGTGCCCCCAAGGTGGTTCTGAGGTCACCCCACACCCTGACGCCTTCCTCTCTGTGTTCCTGCACACATCTCAATGCCTGGGAAGAGCAGGATGAGAGAGGAGGTCACTCGAAGGTTGAAAGTGGGGGCTCTGGTTGTGGGCGAAGGATTGGGGGCCCTTATTATTTTTCTGGATTCAAAGGAACCCTTCCCCCAACCCTCACCCCTCACCCTCAGAGACAGCCAGAGCTTTGCTTAGTTAATGAAATACAAAGGAAGGAATCAGGGGTGGGGGGTGGCTCCAGAGCCCTGGAAAACGAGGGAGAGAGAAAAAGTTGGGTCTCTTCCAAAGAGTTAATGTTCCACAGTATGATCGATTAGGTGTCAGATGTAATTTCAAACCAATACAAGATGAATGGCATAATTTTCCCTCTCTCATTTTAGACAGAATTAAGAATCCATTAGCTAACACAAATTTTTGGCAAGTTTAATAGGAGCTCAAATCTACATTCGGAGGAAATGCTCCCCAAAGCCTGTTTCAGGCTTTTACTTCTCAGGCCCCCTGCCTCCAACGCCCTCTGACTCTCAACAGCCCGCTGTTGTCTGTTCCCCACAGGCAGCCCCCACTCCCTTCCCAGGTCCCCCAAGCGCCCCTCCCCAACCCAGCCCAAGATTAACTGACCTGACCCCTCTCACAAAGGCCGGGCCTGCCCACCATTGTCTTCCAGTGGTGGTGGTGGGGGGGAAGGGGTGGAGGGGCTGGCAATGGGCCCAGGAAAAGGAAAGGTTGCTGAATTAGCCCCAGGCCCCAGACAAACCCTAGGGAGAGAGGAGACCTGGGGCCCTGGGCCATTTGAGCCTCAGCTACTCCTTGGTTTAGTCCCCTGCAAAGTTGTTTCTATCCTAAACAAAGCATTACCCAGTTCCTAAGGGGAACGCAAATCCCATTCTTGATGGGTCTCACACTTAAGTACTGTTAATCACAGAGTAAACATGGGAAGTGAGAAGAACAGCTATCATCCCATTTTAGATGTGAGAAAACTGAGGCTCCGAGGGGTTGATTGGAGTCAGCTGAACCCCAGGGCGGAACTCGACTCCAGTACTTACTTGCTTACTTGGATTGGAAGGCATTTACTTCTGGGCCTTCATTTCACATGGGAAGGAGATTAAAACCCAGCTCACAAGATTACCCAGAGATCAAACAGGATGTGAGCCTGACCCATCAGGAAGCTTTTTTTTTTTTTTTTTTTGGTTACTGGGGATGGAACCCAGGTGCTCTGCTACTGAGCTACATCTCCAACAGTTTTTATTTTTTATTTTGAGACCAGGTCTTGCAAAGTTGCCGAGTCCTCCTGCCTCAGCCTCCTGAGTTGCTGGGATTACAGGCATGTGCCACCACACCCAGTTAGAAAACTCTTGATAAAGAGAATTTACACAATTGTCCCTCCAGGCAGAAGGGTCACATTCCCCTCAGTGTCAGTCTTAAGTAAGCTCACATTCTGATGGGGGAGACAGAGCTTGCCCTGGCAAGCAAAAAAGTCTGAGATAATAATTATGGTGGCTTACCTCTTCAGGTGTTCACTCTGTCAAATGTGGGAGCAAAGTCTACACATAGTAACTCATTTACTCCTCACAACAACTTTATCCAATAAATGTTTCTATCAATCACATCCATTTTCCATATCAGGAAACTGAGACCCAGAGAGGTGAAGTAACTTTGCCAAGGTCACCCAGCTAGGAAACAGCAGAGCTGGGATTACAATTCAGGCGGCCTGGTTCTAAGGCCGGTGGCTCTTAACCCAACGGACGGTAGAACACAAGGAAGCTTGAATTGGGTCTTAACTAATGAGTAGGAGTTTGCCAGGTGGGCAAGGAGCATTCTGGGCAGCAAGAACATCATGTACAAAGGCACAGAAAGAAGCCTCAGCATGGAGGCCGATGAGTGACGCACTGTTGACGCACTGTTGCAGTATTCATGTGGAGGACTGCAGAAAACAAGGTTGGATGGGCAGGCCAGGTGCTTCATTCTGACAATCCTGCTTTAAAAGTTGGGAAGTCCTTCCGATTGTCTAACTCCTGCAGATAGTTTTAAATGCCATGCCTGGGAACTATAGCTTTATCCTGATGTTTGATAATAGGTATAGACTTAGAGATATAGCCCAATGGTAAAGCACTCACCTAACATTTACAAGGTCCTGGGTTTGATCCCCAGCATCACAAAAATAAAAATAAAAATAGGTATAGCTAGCATTTCCCATGTGCCAAAGGCTTCATATTAATTGCCTTGTTTCTTCATTACAATAACCACATGAAGCAAATACTCTTACCCCATTTTCCAGATGAGTAAGGAGGCTGAAAGATGTTAAGTAACTTGACCCAAAACATACTGCTAGACAGTAACAGAGCCAAGCTTCCAAGCCAGGTCTGATCCCAGAACCGGAGCTCTTAATCACTGTGCTTGCTGTGTCCTGGGAGGCAATGGGTAACTTAGGAGGCATTTTTGGCAGTGAATTGAGTTTTAGAAAAAGGCTTCTGGCAAGGTACAGAGGTCGAATTGGAACAGGGTGAGGCTGGAGGAAGGGAAGCAAGCCAGTAAGGAAACCATTGCTCTGGTCCAGATGACAGTTCCTATGAGGAAATTCCTATGAGCCATCTCCAACTTGCATAATGCTGCAGTGCAGGTATCCATTTAACAGATGAGAAAGTTCAGGTTGAGGCTCAGAGAGGTTGACCTACTTCTATGGACCACACAGCTATGATAGGGCAGAGCCCGAAGTAGCCTGAAGCCCCAACCTTTCCCTCCCACCCAACTGCTAGAAGATGGTTAGGCCCTGCATCCCAGATCAGCTCTGCCCTCCTGACCTGGATCAGTATTCCTTGGGATAATGTGGTGCTGGCCCTCTGTTTTGACCCTGCACATGGCCTTCAACTGAGGGAGGAGGGAAAGGGATGAAGGGAAGTGGAAGAGGGATGTTGGAGATGAATGAGACCAGGGACAGTTGCTGACTGTTCTGGAAGATATACAGGAGGAAATACAGGAAGATGCATGGGTTCGCTCTCTTAAGCCTTACGAAGAGAAGACCCTCATTACTTTATTTGGTTTTAATTTTTTATTGTTTATTTAATTATTTTTGTAGTACTGGGGATTGAATCCAGGGGCACTCTATCACCAAGCTACATATCAGGCCTTTTTATTTTAACACAGGGTCTCACCTAGTTGCTGAGGCTGTCCTCAAACTTGCAATCCTCCTACCTCAGCCTCCCAAATTGCTGGGATTACAGGTGTGCACTATCACACCTGGATTACTTGATTTTTTAACTTGGGGAAGTCCTTCCTGCTGCTAAATTCCCATCCTTCCTAATGGAGTCATGAACAACCTGTTGCCAGTTCCAGGGAAAAGCTCCTGCCTATGCTCCCTACCAGGAGACGCAACTCTTCATCCTTTCTCATGGGATGGGAGAATTCTGTTCTCTTTATATCAGTGCATACCCAGATGGGGTGGGGTGGGGTAGCTAGGTCCCAGGGTATCCCACCTAAAA